AGATATGGAGTACAGTCTCCAGGAATGGGGAGCTCAGAGCTTAAGGCACTATTGATAACCGGGATAGTTTTTCTTTAAATAAACTTAAAATTTCCCCATAAATACCACTACAAAACCCAATTCTACCTCTCAAGGTCACAAAAACAACTTAAATTCTCTTTTTCGTATAATCTGCATTCAATAAATATTTATTGGGCATAAGCTAAGTACCACTATTTGATCTTCCAAGTCTCTTTTCCAGTTAAGCATCCAACATCTGATGACTCTTTCATGTAAGACATTATTTAATGTCCCTTCACCATCTGACGGCTCTTTTGAAATAACAAATTTGCCACTCTCCATCTTACAGTATGACACCTGGAAACAAACATTACTCTAATCAATGCCCTCACACTTCTCCTTCAAAAATTGGAGGGTTCTACTGGAGCTTCCAGGCTTAGGCGAAAGCAGTATCATGGCAGGTTGGAGGGAGACCTCTGACGGCCATGCTGTCATGGTGCATGGAAGGCTAATTTGTCCTTTAGGTGCAGATAAAAAATGTCATAGATCCAATTTTGGGTCTTTTTTTTTTTTTGCCTGAAGTATTTACATTTATTAGATTTACATTCAAAATGGAACGTTTCCTTAGTCATCAGTATCCTAAGGAGAAAAAAATCCAAAACAAAGCAAATTTGTGTCTTGTCCCAGCTCCTCCATAGTGCATGCACCACTGAGGAAGTTCCCACTTCAAAGAGCTGTTGAAGTCCTTTCTAGTTCAGAAGGGTAGACATTTGGTAGTAGAAACAACTTTTCATCTTATTAACTGGAATGCATGGTCATTCGTGAAAGTCTCTTTCATTTTCAAACATAATCTCTGTACCCCAAGCTGTGAAGCAGCAGGCACTGTTGAGGGTCTAAGGGAACCATCTGCATCCTACTAGTCTGTATGGCCTCTGAGCAGGAAGTTCAGCCAATGTGGAGGACCAGAGCGCAACTGCCTCGGGCACTGTGGAGTCGCCTAACTTTTCTAACACTAAAATAACCATAGATGTGCCCTTTTCTTGGTATTCTAATCCCACTGGAGGCTTTTCATTAAGACCTTGTTCCTTTGAACACATTTCAGGCATAACATATCGTCCTCCAGATGCAGGATGGGAAATTGCAGGCCGGAAGTAGGAAGAATGCACACACTCTCCCTTTTTGCTTCCCAGGAACCAGGCTTGTCCGGCATGAAACTGCAGGTGGACCCAACCATTTGGGTTTGTAGGGAGACTTCTCCATGGACCACACACCACCTGACACCGTAGGCCTCTTGTGGGGATTCCGTAGCCTCTGATTCTGCTGCCTCCATCTCTCCAGCCAAGGATGCGACTCTGGCCCAGTCTCTGGGACAGAGGTTGTCACCTCAATTGTATTAACTCCCTCGAGGAGAGCTGCAGACATTTGAGGGTTAGGTAGAACCTCTGCAGGGGGACCAGCCACTTCTGGAGGATTAGTCCTTTCAGAACACATGCTTTCCTGAGGACTTTCTGCAGATGCTTTCCCTCTGCCCACCTTTAACTGTCTTCATAATGATATTTCAGTCTTGGCCTCTTCTGCTGTGGGAGGAATATCCTTTGCTCTGGATAATCACGGCACACAGTCTCCTATATGTGTCTCATTTCAGGTCTTTGGAGCTGATCTTTAATTGTTGACACCAGGCCCACCAAATGTCCCGGTGAAGCCGATCAGCTAGCGGCAGTTCAGAGGTCAATGGGGGAATTGGTATCTTTTTCTGAGGCTGTAGGCTGTCATTGCACTGTGCCTTCTCCTCTGGACAGGAAACTTTGTCATCCTCCACAGAAAAGTTTCATTGTTTTCCCTTTGCTGAGGTTGTTGGTTGTGGGAAGCTGCGCACCAGCGAGTCTGCCGAGGTTTCTCAGAGAGCAAACAATTACCATGATTGGTTCCCTTCCAAAAACCTGACCTTCGAAACCTTGCTCTGATTGGCCACTAGAATCCCTCAAATTTGCATATC